GCACTCCAACATGTATATTAACCGATAACGGTACTCATTTTACTTCTCAAGTTATGAACAAATTATTTGAAAATATTGGAGTTACCCATCTTTATTCCACAGTATATCATCCACAAACTAATGGACAAATTGAACGATTTAATGCTACAATGGATGGAAAAATTGCCGCATTAGGTAATGAACGACGAACAGATTGGGATGAAGTATTACAATTTGTTACATTTAATTATAATACATCAATACATGCAACAACAAAACAAACACCATTCGAGATGATGCATGGAAGACAAGTTACACTTCCATTTGATCAACAAAAAGAAATTATTTCGCTCACACAAGATCCAGAGCATAGTGAAAAAATTAGAATATATCTCGAAAAATTAGTAAATGAAGCTCGAAACAATATTATAAAAAATCAACAACAATATAAAGCTCGATATAATTTACATAGACAAGATTTAATATTAAAAATTAATGATTTAGTTTTAATCAAAACAAAAAATGTTAGAAATAAATTTGATATACGATATGAAGGTCCATTTAAAATTATTAAACAATTAGGATGTAAAACATTCATTGTTCAACATGTAAAAAAATTAACATTAACAAGACAAGTTACAATGGATGTCATTGTTTCGTTAGTGGAACGATGGAATCTATTCAATAAATAAACACATCCTGAAAGGGATAGATGTGAAAGTAGATGTCATTATTAGTGAACTAAAATGATCACTATTCATATATGGTGATCAGTATTTATGGTCCGATTTAAGGGTCAATGTCTGGGAGACAGATGTCACTTTCTCACTGACAAGGACGAGCTATCGAACTTGAATATTGAATCATATATACGATAGCGATGCATCATCCAATCAGAAACGCGCAAGAATCGATGTGCTTGAATAGTCACGGCCGGACTATTCTGCGTAACGATGGAAGCACGTGGAACTGATCGACGAATTCACTATTATCTATACAAGAACGAACATAGATACATCTACCACATCAAAGGAAAGAAAAATCTTGTATATGGACATGCACCGACTTATATCGAACACGAACAGGAACGAAAAATTGACCTCTAAGAGAAAATAATTGCACTTAAATATTTTATTTTAAAATAATATATATCATTTTATTATATCTAGCTACAACAATGCCGCACGCTATCCGTGATCCAGATAATCCACCAGCTTATTTTTATACGTTAACAGACAAACAACAAAAGACTTGGATGAAAACGGCAAAGAAGATGCAGAAGAATGAACAACTTAAACATGAATATCCACCATTCGAATCATCATCGAACATCAACATCATCCATGTTCATCACAAGTCACCAATTGATACAATTAATAATTTAATTGTCTTAGCAAATCAAACGTATCATTATGTTGTTGATACAGAATCTGAACGTAACAAGTTACGAAATGATGCTCTAATACAAATCCAATTTATACACACAATTAATGAATCAACAATAATATTAATTGAAGCAATGCATTTACCTGATTTACATACGGAATTGTACAAAAAAATTAAAGATCTATGGTGCACCATCTTCAATAACAACAACATCATCATCACATGGGGCGATTTGGACAATGAATTTATAAATTTTTATCACCTCGATATCATCTTTTTAGGTAATTCATTTCGTCATTTAAATTTACAATATATGTTTAGAGGATGGCATAATGATCGATGTCGAACGCATCCCGAAAAGGGAAAGCGTGATAAAAAACCAGGTCCAATATCGACTATGTTGATCGATATGCCTGGTGATGATGACTTTAATGATATCGATGATGGACAATCAAAAAATTATGTACAATATAAGTGTGATCATCCAAGCCATTATGATCATAATAGTAAATGGTCCTTGCAAGATTCGATTGCAATTACTTTTAAAAAATTTTTGGATAAATCACAAACAATTAATTATTGGCAATGTGGTATTGATCTAACACTGGGCACATGGAAGAACAAGTTATTCAGTCGAAGACAGTACAACAAGCACACTGAACAACAAGAACGATTAAACATGAAGCAATATGCTGTTGATGACTGTCTCGCTGTGGCTGAATTATACTTCCATATGCATCCAGAAACAATAAACAACGATCAACAACTTCACGAAGTACCACAAACAACAACAATACACACAACAACAGCAGAAACAACAACTATTTCAATTGATTTTGAAGATGGATTATCAATCATTAGTGAGGATGAATTATTGGAAATAATTAGACCAAAATTCGATAACAAACAAGAAATTGTCCATCATACATATCACCAAGAAGATGAATTAATTATAGCACCAATGCAACATGAAATTAAAGAATTAATTCAACTCCAACAACCACCATTAAATACACTAACAACATCAACATTAACAAAAACTGAACGACAACGACGTAAAAATCAAAAGCTTAAATGGAAGCAAAAAAATAGACCGGATTTTCAAAGAAAGATCAAAAGACCGATTTATTATCGTTACGACTATAGAAAAATCCGGTCTCAATTAGCTGATGATGATATACACACAAGTCACCAGATAACAATAAGCAAGAACAAACGGGAAGTTTTGATCGGGTTCAAATCCAAAGAAGAAGAAGAAAAAGCAAGAAAGAAAATGAAAATTAATTACTTTTCACGTGAACAATATAAACAACGTTGGGGGTAAGAAAAAAAAATAAAAAAAAAATAATAATAACAACAAATAAAAATAAATAAATAAAAATAAAGTAAAGACATAAAACGAATATAAAAATATAAAAAATATATAATGATAATAAATAAACGAAATAAGAAAGAAAAGAAGAAAAAAAAATAAAAATAAAAAAAAAAGGGTGTGGGGTGTGGGTGTGGGTGTGAGTGTGGGTGTGGGTGTGGGTGTGGGTGTGGGTGTGGGTGTAGATGTGAGTGTGGGTGTGGGTGTGGGTGTGCGTGTGTGGGGTGTGGGGTGTGGGTGTGGGTGTAGGTGTAGATGTGAGTGTAAAGGTATTTTGTGCTCGCACTTACACCCACACACCTACACCCATACCCCACACCCACACCCACATCCACACCCACACCCCACACCCACACCCCACACCCACACCCCACACCCACACCCACACCGACACCCTTTGTTGAATTCGACGTTTGTCTTTTTTTGATTGAACTTATATATATAGAGTGTGGATGCGGACATGGATATGAGTCTAGTATTCGCTCTTACCCACATCCCACACCCACATCCCACACCCACATCCCACACCCACATCCCACACCCACATCCCACACCCACATCCCACACCCACATCCCACACCCACATCCTCATTGATCATTTGTTTCAATTGATTATATCCATTAGATTCAATTGAAGAATTTTGTTTATTCAATTGATTATTAATCTATATTATATTTCATTGATAATTTGTGAAAATGTCGCTAGATAACATGATGATGAAAGCTGGTGAAGTTGAATTCTATTTACACAAAAATGATACCATGGGTGCATTACAAGTATATGACTTTTGATTTTAAATTGAATGTTTAAATAATATTTTTTTTGTAGACACTTGGTGAAATAATTCAAGAATTGATGTCCCAAAATGATTGTGTTCATGATGAAAAATTGAAAGATATGTTAATAATGAGCTGTATTAAACGTATCAATATTAATTTTAAAGAAAAAAAACTATCACGGTAAGAGAAAATCTTTTTTTAAAGACAGTATACATTCTAAGAAAAAAATGTTAGACTACCGAACCTTTTTAAGTTTGGTAGGAACTGCGAAACCTGAAATGATTGTTCATCTGGACACATGCTCGAAACCTTTGCTACGAAATCTTTTTAAGATCTGTGAGAAGAAAAAAGTTCTGTATCAAAAATACGAAACCATCCTGGATCGATACGAATCCTTAATGGTTTAATCCGAAATCTTTGAGGTTTCTTAGTGAAACTGAATGATTTCCTATTTTTGATACAGAACTTTTTTTCTCTCACAGATCTTAAAAAGTTTTCTTAGCAAAGGTTTCGAGCGTATGTCCAGATGAAGACCATTTTAGGTTTCGCAACTCCTACCGAACTTAAAAAGGTTCGGTAGCTTAACAATTATTTTTAGAGTGTATAGCACCGAATAAATAAACTTATTTAAAATAAGTTTATTATATAAATTTGTTCTTTTGTAATTTATTATTCTAAATGTAGAATTATTAATTCGCATTTTTGATAAATTATGATTTGTTTTTGTTTTAGATGTCATAACAGATATCAAAATGTTAAATTTGACAAAATATAATATTTCTGCAGATACAACTATTTTTTTAATGTATCTGTAAGAGAAATTCTATTTTATTTTTCTTTAAATTGTTTTTAATTTTCTTTTTAGTGCATCAATAGCTAGTCTATGTAGAGAGACAATAACTGTCGAATTAAAAAACTTTAAAATAAATTGTAAGTATTATTTCGATAGCTAAACAACTAGAAATATTCGTTTTTTTCCTTGATATTTAGCTAATGAAATGGAAGCTGGAAAAGAAAATGTTGGTGTAGATTTTAATACAAAACCAATGTTTTCAAAGTATTATATATAATACATGAATTAATTTCTTTTTTTCTTTAATTTTAGAGAAGTACAAAAACTAATAAAAACTAAAAAATAATTTCACATTATAATTGGCATCTTCGTTATCAAAATCATAAAAACGAGATGTTGTTATTCATTATTTCATTGGTATTTACACTATTATGGTCTTCTTTATTAACATTCTAAATGGTTTCATTTTGAATTTGTTTACATGAATTATAACCGTTTATTTATCAACAATCTCAATGATCTTATTTCATCGGTTTTTGCTAATGAGTTTCTTTGATGAATATATGTTGTTAATGTGTATATTGTCCATAATCGATTATTAATTTCACAGTTTATATATGGGTGCGATCAACTGGGAGGGGACCCAATTTCGATACACTCCTATTGTACGGATAAAACATACTATTGTTCGGGTCATATAAGAGAGGATCCTAGATAACCCTGGAT